ATGACATCGGAGTGGACAACCTACTATGAAATAGCAGCAACTGTCTCCTTAACTGCATCCGTGGTAATCTTTCCTTAACCAACTGTCACTCTTTCCTATGGGAACAGGCAAGCCTTTATGTACCAAATGTATCTTTAAAAAATTATCTATAAATTTGATTATTTTGTAAATACACATAGTGTGTTAGTTCAGTTTCATGTTGCTGATAAAGAAACACCTATGACTGACCAATTTACAAAAGAAAGAAGTTTAATTGGACTTACAGTTCCACGTGGCTGGGGAAGCCTCACAATCACGACAGAAGGCAAGGAACAGCAAGTCACGTCTTATACAGATGGCAGCAAGCAAAGAGAGCTTGTGCAGGAAAACTCCATCTTATAATAACCATCAGATCTCATGAGACTTACTATCACAACAACGGCATGGGAAAGACATGCCCCCATGATTCAGTTACTTCCCACAAGGTCCCTCCCACAACACGTGGGAATTCAAGATAAGATTTGGGTGGGAACACAACCAAACCATAGTATTCTTCCCCTTGCCCCTCCCAAATCTCATGTCCTCACATTTCAAAACCAACCATGCCTTCCCAACAGTCCTGAAAAGTCTTAACTAATTAACTCGAAAGTGCACAGTCAAAAGTCTCATCTGAAACAAGGCAAGTCCCTTCCGCTCATGAGTCTGTAAAACCAAAACCAACTTAGTTACTTCCCAGATACATTTGGGGTACAGGCATTGATACAGCTGTTCCAAATGGGAAACATTAACCAAAACAAAAAGGCTACAGGCCCTATGCAACTCCAAAATCCAGTGGGACAGTCAAATCTCAAAGCTCCAAAATTATCTCCTTTGACTCCATGTCTCACATCCAGGTCATACTGATGCAAGAGGTGGGTTCCCATGGTCTTGGGCAGTTCCACTCCTGTGGCTTTGCAGGATGTATCCCCCCTCCTGCCTGCATTCACAGGCTGGCATTGAGTGTCTGCAGCTTTTCCAGGTGCACAGTGCAAGCTGTCAGTGGGTCTACCATTCTGGGGTCTGGAGGATGGCGGCCCTCTTCTCACAGCTCCACTAGGCAGTACCCCAGTAGGGACTCTGTGTGGGGTCTCTGGCCGCACATTTCCCTTCTACATTGCCCTAGCAGAGGTTCTCCATGAGGGCCCTGCCCCGCTGCAGCAAACTTTTGCTTGGGCATCCAAGTGTTTCCATACATTTTCTGAACTCTAAGTGGAGGTTACCAAACCTCAGTTCTTGACTCCTGTGCACCCACAGTCTCAACACCACATGGAAGCTGCCAAGGCTTGGGGCTTGCACCCTTTGAAGCCACCACCTGATCTCTACGTTGGCCCCTTTCACCCATGGCTAGGATGCAGGGCACCAAGTCTCTAGGCTGCACACAGCACAGGGACCCTGGGCCTGGGCCACGAAACCACTTTTTCTTCCCAGACCTCCAGGCCTGTGATGGGAGGGGCTTCCATGAAGACCTCTAACCTGACCTGGAGACATTTTCCCCATTGTCTTGGGGATTAACATTCAGCTCCTCATTATTTATTCAAATTTCTGCAGCCAACTTGAATTTCTCCTCAGAAAATGGGATTTTCTTTTCTATCACATTGTCAAGTTGCAAATTTTCCAAACTTTTATGCTCTGTTTACCTTTTAAAACTGAATGCCTTTAACAGCACCAAGTCACCTCTTGAATGCTTTGCTGCTTAGAAATTTATTCTGCCAGATACCCTAAATCATCTCTCTTAAGTTCAAAGTTGCAAAATCCCTGGGGAGGCACAAAATGCTGCCAGTCTTTTCGCTAAAACATAAAAAGAATCACCTTTGCTCCAGTTCCCAACAAGTACTTCATCCGCATCTGAGACCACCTCAGCCTAGATTTCATTGTCCATATCATTATCAGCATTTTGGTCAAAGCCATTCAACAAGTCTCTAGGGAGTTCCAAACTTCCCCACATTTTACTATCTTCTGAGCCCTCCAGACTATTCCAACTTCTGCCTGTTACCCAGTTCCAAAGTCACTTCCACATTTTTAGGTATCTTCTCAGCAGCACCCCACTCTCAATACCAGTTTACTGTATTAGTTCATTTTCATGCTGCTGACAAAGACATACACAAGACTGGGCAATTTACAAAAGAAGGAGGTTTAATAGGGCTTACAGTTCCACATGGCTGGGGAAGCCCCACAATCATGGCAGAAGGCAAAGAGGAGCAAGTCATGTCTTACATGGATGGTACCAAGCGAGAGAGCTTGTGCAGGAAAACGCCCCCTTATAATAACCATCAGATCTAATGAGACTTACTCACTATCATCAGAACAGCACGGGAAAGACCTGCCCCCATGATTCAGTTACCTCCCACCAGCTCCCTCCCACAACACGTGGGAATTCAAGATGAGATTTGGGTGGGGATACAACCAAACCATATCAGATAGATATGGCTATTTTCAAGGTTTTTTCGTTGTTTTTGCTTTTAGGTTTTGAGATTCTCTTTTGTTTTGAGAGGGAGGGAAAGAGATAATTGTGTGAAGCTAGCAGTCATCTCTAATTGAATGTATTTGTTAATCAACATTTTTTCCTAAGCACAGAATAGAGCAATCAAGTGCTTATTGCTTCTCCCAGATCCTGGGGAGGAACACAAAGAGATTTCCCTTTAGTGTTCAATAGTTAGTTTGACACTGCCTAATTTTAATGATGCCTCTTCGTGGCATCCACAGATCAATTAAATACCTCTAATGTCAGACTTTTAGAGGATGGTTTTTAAGAAAACAGGTAAAAATTGGTCTTTCTGAAATTGAGATAATTTTGAAAAGTGTAGATTACCCATGGACTATTCACAAAGTACACAATTGCTCTCTACCCAGTTGAAGACTCTGAAGGACTCCTGTTCATGGTTTACCTTGAAAAAACACCAAGTTGTGAGAGGTTACTTGTCTTAGAAATAGGGAGAAATGTATGTACAGTCACTTATAAATAAGCACTATTTCACGTGTGTAATATTACGAAATTGCAAAATGAAACAAATATTGGAAATCTTTGGCTGTATATCTCTAAATCACTTTTTAAAATTTATATTTTTATATTTTACTTTATATCTCATTTCATTCTAGAAAGAATATTTTATTATAGTAAATTTAGGAAATACAAAAAGACAATATAAAGGAAAATTAAAATTACTTATTAATTTTTTATGAAAGTAACTCTACCCCAAAAATAGTACTTTCTCCCACAGTCTTTTGTCTCCCTGCTTGCTTTTCTCATTCAGAGAATAGCTAATCTGCTGCCAGCATGGTACTACAACTTCCGGGTTACCATGGTGACGTGGGGAGATCCAGAACTGAGCTGCTGTGACAGCTCTACCATCAGCTTCATAACAGGTGAGGCGTGTGTGGGGAATGGTTCCATGAGGAGGGAGCATTATTGTGAGGAGTTACCAAGGTTCCAAATCTCTAGAAAGTGCCAGTCATTCACCCAGCACTGGTGAACATCAGTTTCATGGGAGATAATATTGATTCTGATGATTCATTATTTTGTTTAGTTGATAATCTTTAAAAATCAAAATACCATTTTTATTCTGAGCTACCACCATTGACTTATTTTATTCTGAGGCACCTTAATTTATGTACTCCCCAGCTGGGACTGATTAGAATAGAGATATGGCAGGCACAGCCATCAGCTTCACACTACACAGTCAATTGATTTTACCCATATGATTATTATATTTGTTAGAGTGCCTCCATTTTCTTATTAATTAAGCCATTTTTAAAGTCATAGGCTGACTGCAGTAGGGTCCATTGTGGAAATAAAAAAATAGGGTTTAGAGACAGATGGATCTGGATTTGAATAGACCCTCCCACACACCACATATAATCTTGAGCACGTTAACGTTTCTAAACCTGTTTTTTTTTAATGTGGAAAATGAGGATGATAATAGTATCAGTTGTCTGTTATTACAACTTCATTATTATATAAGCTCCTTTGCAAAATACATGGCACAAAGTTTAAGCACTTAAAAAACGATTAGTCTTAGATCCTCGGAAACCTTAAAATATGTAGTTGCATCATCAGTAGTCAGAGATAGCAATGAAAAGGGGAAATTCATCAAAGAAACACTAATCTTTGTTGTTTGAACTAAGACGTTTCAAGAAACTTTTATCAAATGACAAGGTTGTAATTAAAGTTGTCCTGAGAAAACAGAGGAGAAAAATACTGCTTAGAAGAATAATTTGGCAAACAGTTTCCTCAGTGGACATCTAGTTAACGCTGTTGAAATTTATCAGTGAAAAAAAGTGAAAAGAAATCAATGATCTGTGAATTCTTACACAATTAACTTCCATAAGCATGTCTCTTTTCTCTACTAACCAAAATCCAGAGCACTTTTTGTTCCATATTTTAATAGTAATATTAGAGCATAAAAGTGAAAGAATACCCAAAAAGGAGAAAATAGCAATTACTTGGCAAGCACTGTGTTAGGCGTTTACCTATATTGATAATCACATATTTAATTATAATTAAACTTCACTGTATCAATAATTCTTATAATTTAACTATATTGATATAAACGTTCTGAGAACGCTCTTTCCTTCTCACCGCAACAGGTGTCTAGAAAAAGCCCAGATGTAACATCTCAACCTGGGACTGCTCATTTCTAGCTGTCAAACTTTGAGCAAATTACCTTAATGATTCTGGGCTTCTATTTTCTTACCGGTAGAACCCCCTAAAATGTCAGCTAAATCGGCTCTAAAGCCTACTTGGAGACAACTGGTTAGGAGAGCAAAACTTAATATATTGAACACCACCTTGATAGTCTTTGCACTGTCTCTTAAGCGGGGCAAAAGAAATGAAAGATTATTAGGATTTGGCTTTCTGGTTCGAGCGGTTTAAAGTATGCCTTTCAAGATGGGAAACTGACTAGGATTCTGCATACTTCATAACAGTTTAAATGGACATAGCAAGCCTGGATTCATAAACTATGGTTAATAAACAAGCTACTTACCTGGTAAGCAGTCTGTTGTCTCCAATGTATTGATGTTGACGATTTTCTATCTTTTCCTGGGTCAAATAAATAAATGATGCTGAACCAGTAGTCTACAGGTATTGTCTGAGCATATTGACAGAGATGGTCTCAATTCTCACATCTATAAAATGGGTATAATAATAAATAAATAATAATAAATATCTCACAGTATGTGTGAGAATTAAATCATGTAACGTAAGTCACTATTATAATATATATGATATATTATTATCATGTTTATACTTATTTTTTAAACCAGTTGAAAATTGTAGTAGGCTTTTTTTTTAATCTTCTTTTTTTTACATTTTACTTTAAGTTCTGGGATGCATGTACAGAACATGCAGGTTTGTTAGATAGATATACATGTGCCATGGTGGTTTGCTGCACCTATCAACCTGTCATCTAGGTTTTAAGCCACACATACATTAGGTATTTGTCCTAATGCTCTCCCTCCCCTTGCTCCCAACCCCCAACAGGCCTCATATAATGCTAATACTTATGACAAACATTCATAACTAGCTATGCTTTCAAAAATAATTATTCACTGAAGAATTTGTAATATATAAAGTAAAAACGCATGTGTGTGATGTTTTTTACCTTCTTATTTAAAGCAAATAAGAATCTCATGCTTAAGTCTCCTATGCTTTAATTTTCCAAATTGTGTGGTATAAAAGGAAATAAGAACAAAATATTTGAATTAGGTGTGATTTATTCGGAACTCAAGTATACCATCTTCGTTAGGCAATTCAGTTGACTAGCCCTCAATCGTAGTAATTATGCTGAGGGGCTAAATTATTAATAAACAAATAGTGACATCTTGTGGCCTTCCAGCAATATGCTAGGTTTTAAAGCAACAACATGGAAATAAAAATCTGACAAGTTGAGAGGAAAGATACATACTTCTGGGTTTGCAATTTTAAAGATATTTCTTTTCCTCACTAAAATTGGAACATGAGAAAATATCCTTTGAAGAAATATATGCATAGATTCTTGTATATGATGAAATATGTTGGAATATATTAGGACGTTATAAGGAAGCCAAGGTTATTTTCCTTTAGTAGAATATTCTGAAATATGATGTCGATTTCTGTTACTTGTTACATGAATTATCTTTCAAGATTTTATTGCTAAGCATACTATATAAATGCTACTCCTATTTCACATGAAACAAAAATGCATTTTTACTTTATATATTACAAATTCTTCAGTGAATATTTTTGAAAGCATAGCTAGTTATGAATGTTTGCTGTAAGTATTAGCATCATATTAGGAGAAATGATTCTTTATAGAAAATTTCCAAAGATTTTAGTTGACATTGTGCTGTATCTCGGAATGGAACACCGACTGTCTTCAGACCAACGTACACATGATATTTAAATTCAACTGCGTATTTGTTTTTTAAAATAATCAGAGTTAGCAGTTACTTTAAAAAGTAATTAAAATATGTTTTCAGAGCCTATATAGTATAAAGCTTGTGATGAATTCTCCTCCCTAGTTAGCAAATTTTTAATTTTTTTTTTTTTCTTTTTGGCTGGGCGTGGAAGCTCACGCCTGTAATCCCAGCACTTTGGGAGACCAAGATGGGCAGATTGCTTGAGCCCAGGAGTTCGAGACCAGCCTAGGCAACATAGAAAGACCCCAGCTCTACAAAAAATACAAAAATTAGCCGGGTATGGTGGCCTGTACCTGTAGTCCTAGCTACTTGGTAGACTGAGGCAGGAGGGATGCTTGAGCCTGGGAGGTTGAGGCTGCAGTGAGCCGAGATTGTGCCACTGCACTACCGCTTGCGTGACAGAGTGAGACCCTGCCTCAAAAATAAGAATAAAAATAAAATAAATTAAAAGTAATTTTTTTTTTGAGGCAGGGTCTTACTCTGTCACCCAGGCTGGAATGCAATGGCAGGCTCATGGTTCACTGCAGCCTGGACCTCCTGGGCTCAAATAGTCCTACCCCCTCAGCCTCCCTAGTAGCTAGGACAACAGGGTGTGCCACCATGCCCGGCTGAATTTTCTAATTTTTTGTAGAGATGGGGTTTTGCTATGTTGCCCAGGCTGGTCTCCAACTCCTGGACTCAAGAGATCCACCCACGTCAACTTCCTGAAATGCAGGGATTACAGGCATTCCCCGCTTAAATTTTTGAAAAATTAAATGTGTAAGATGATAAAGTAGCAAGCTCTGTGTTAGAATTTAGCTTCGTGGCATGATTTAAAAAAAAACAAAAAAAAACAAAAAAAAAAACTTGTTCTTCCCTTCTTTTCTCTCTCACTACTCGCTCAGCAGCATTTATTAAGAGCCTATTCTCTGCAAAGCACTGGGCTAGAACACTGTAAATAATGTCTTGTTATTTTATGGAAATAACATTTGTCTTCTATCCTACTTGTAGTACTATGATCTTCTATCTTTCTACCCTTGTATCCTACTGTTCTTCATTCCCATAAACGTCTTTGCTGCAAGTAAATGAAAGAGACTTAGTTTACAGGACTCTAAGTTTTTAAATCCTACTTGAATAATAACTCCACTGACGCCTATTAATATTAATTGGTTGATGTAACAAATATACCCAAATAAGTGAACTTCTTAGGAATTTTGTAATGGTGAAATTTATATAAAAGACTTTGATATCCTCAGGTACAGATGGGTCTGGGTGTCTTGTATCTTAGATTTACAAGATGTGGGATCCCATAAAACACGTGCCCATCCTGTACCACCATCCTTCACTGTTAACGAGAGGTCCTGAAGTTACCAGGACTCTCGTGTGCTATGAATTCTAATTCGCTAAGTAGACTCTATGTAGGATTTCATGCTCTACTAGTAATTAATTTATTTATCTGTCTATTATACTAAATTGTGCTTTGTTTCTCCCTTGTAGCCCCAGTGGCTCCAGAAATCACTTCTGTGGAATATTTCAACAGTCTGTTATATATCAGTTGGACATATGGGGATGATACAACAGACTTGTCCCATTCTAGAATGCTTCACTGGATGGTTGTTGCAGAAGGAAAAAAGAAAATTAAAAAGAGTGTATGTTTCTTTGAATGCCAGTATTGGGTGTCTGTAAATTTAGTTTTATGAACTATTGAAAACCACTAAGCAATCATTTATTGACGCATCAAATGTTTGCATGCTAGTTGTCTGTTTTAGGCTCTGGAGATAAGACAGTGAACAAAAATTAAATTCTTCCTTTCATACAGCTTACCATTTAATCTTTAACAGTGAGCTGTAAGAGCTGCAACTATTGATTTCATTTATATTTAGAATTATGATTTCAGCATTTTCTTCAGGATGCCAACATTTTCAAGAAAACTACAATTAACATATTTCCAATTTTTCCCATATATCACCAACACCTAAAGATTTGGGGACTTTGGGACTACTGACTTCTTTTCTCCAAAATATGCTTTTTGATGTTTATTGATTAGGGTACAGACTAAACTACTGTAATAAAGAAACAAACAAAAGGAGAGTGGCTCAAACAAAATAGAAGTTTTTACCTCTCCCATTAAAGCACAGGACTAACCAGGCACTTCTGCTTTAAGAGGTCGTCCAGGGAGGCAAATTCTCTTTTGTTGTTCCATCTGCCACTATGCACAGTCCTTGTCTCTAGAGATAAACCTTTATCATCATTACCTCCATGTTCCAGCCTGCAGGAAGGGGAAAAGAAAAGGGAGGATGTAGGAGCCCAGCACTTACAGGATATGAACTGAACTATAAGTTGTCCATGTGACTTCTACTTAAAATCCACTGATCAGAGTTAGGTCACATCGTCCCCTCTAGCTGTAGGAGAAGATGGGAAATAACAATGGCCCTTAGGTAGGAAGCCACACGTCTACAGATATGGGTAGGTTTCTTTTAAATTTCTTAGAATGTACGTATCAGTAGCAACTCAGTAATTTTCTTTTCTAAAACCTGTTATGAATACATGAGAAAATGTCAGAATGAGACCCATTCCAAATAAGGGAATTAATCACAAAATTGTTCTGATGTATATAATGCATTGTTAAGGCTACCTTGCATTGGGCCCAGCTGAGGAATTTATAAAATTTTCAGAAGATATAACGTATCTATAATATAATAAATTGCAGAGTGCGGCATAGAACAGAGAGGGAATGTATCTGCTATAGTCCTTTAGTTTTTTGGGGTGGTGCACTGACTCATTCACTAAAAGTTTAAACCCTTGATTTTGATGATCTTGCAGGTAACACGCAATGTCATGACTGCAATTCTCAGCTTGCCTCCAGGCGACATCTACAACCTCTCAGTAACCGCTTGTACTGAAAGAGGAAGTAATACCTCCATGCTCCGCCTTGTCAAGCTAGGTAAGAAGAGGACACAGAGATGGGTGTAAAATAATCATGTTGGGAGAACTAATGTTTGCATCATTTGATTCAGCAAGACCTCCTCAATTCAATGAAATAATAACAGAAAAATGGCTAATTTTTTATGAGTAGAAAATGGACATTCATACTAGCAAAAGAGTATGTTCAACTTGGTACAAGTTTCTGTGAGTGGGATATATACTGTTCTGGGAAACAGTGGTGTTCACTATTCTTGGTTAGGTTAAAGAAACCAGGTAGTCATAGGATTTTGGAGATAGAAGCACATTAGAGATTATCTAATGCAGTGTTCCCAACCCTATAAGACATTTTATTTTCATATTAATATTATGTAATATTATGTAATACCCTCTTTATTATCTTACATAGTAATGGATTTTAAAATCTACATATTGATTTTTTAAATTTTATATAGTTTTCTAACTCTAGTAAAAAATCAAGACAAAAAGAAACTAATTTATAATAAAATAATATGGATTCCCTATGTATATGTTCAGACACAACTACTCTAAAAGACATAATGAAATTACCTGATGCCTGGATATAATTAAAATGAATAAGTTGGAGTTTACAAGAAATAAAAAGATCACTAGTCTTTTATATAAGAAGCATAAAAATAAGCTAAGAAATGAACAATTTAACATAAATTAATTAATAACAAATAACTAAGCAAGCATAGATACAGGTAGATCCTAGAATAAAAACTAGAGTTAAGATAAGTACTCAAAGATGAGCTATATTGTCACAGAATGAGAGAAAGATGGAAATAATTTTAATTAAAGTAGGGACAACACACCAAAAGTTTATAAATGGCAGCACAGAAGCAAGCTGGCTTCACTCCCCTCTACCCAACGGAAAACCAAAAGCAAATATACAGCTCTGAGTTTTTCGCCAGAAACAACCCAGAACTCAAATACGAGAATGAAACAGATTCCAGAGCCATAGAGAAGTGAAAAAACTCTGGGCAGATGGTAGGAGAATCAGGCTTCCACATTCATGACACCTCCCCCGCGATTCTGCCTGGCAACAAGTGTGCAGAAAATCTTCTGCCAACTCATGTTTCTACCCTGGAAAAAGTGAGGTTGAGGTAGTCAACTAGTTTCCCCACTATGTTATGTTCCCCTGGCAGGAAATCTGTCCTTGCCTTAAGCCACAGGAAGCATCGTGACTGCCTGAAGGGAGAAATAGCTTGAGGATAGGCAGAAACAAAGAGGTGAGGTGGAACTACCATTCCCAGTCCCAGCAACTCTGCTCTGTAACTTGGCCAAAGGAGACATCAAATCAGAGTGGCTGTTCAGCAGCACCATACTGTAGGAGGTTTATTTCACAGGTCCCTTGGGGGCATGAGACCCCTAGCCAACTTTGACACACTGCCAGGATAATTCCTTTAAGACCTTTCCTTCTCAGGACAGGCAGAGCCAGGGCAAATCTGGATTTAAGGTGCCACCTAGAGCTGACAAGTAGGTAGTGATCTAGTGGTAAAGATTTTGCTAAGCAAATATAGCCAATAAAGACAAAACAAGGCAAGGCAGACATAGGAAAGTGGACTAAATAGTTAATTCTTTAATGCAAAGACATAGATCTATGCCCATAAGAAACAGCATCAAACAGGGAACTGTGACCCCCCTCCCAGAAAAGGACAAAGCAAAAATCCAATGACTGACCCTAACAAGATGGTGATTTGTGAGCTCTCTGAACACGAATTCAAAATCCAGTTTAAGGAAAATCAGTGATGTCCAGGAAAACACAGAAAAGCAATTCAGAAATTTATCAGAAAAATTTTTAAATCAAACAAAATCTTGGTACTGGGAAATATGTTTGCTGAACTGAAAAACTCATCACAGCAGAATGGACAAAGGAGAGGAATGATTCAGGGAGCTCAAAGCCTATTTGAAAACATACCATTAGAGGAGCAAAAAGAAAAATAAGACTGAAAGTAAGCGAAGTCTGCCTGTAAGACATATAAAAAAGGCTGGGCGAGGTGGCTCATGCCTGTATCCCAGCACTTTGGGAGTCCCAGGCGGGCAGATCACGAGGTCAGGAGATTGAGACCATCCTGGCTAACATGGTGAAACCCCGTCTCTACTAAAAATACAAAAAAGAAATTCGCCTGGCATGGTGGCTGAGCCTGTAGTCCCAGCTACTCAGGAGGCTGAGGCAGGAGAATGGCGTGAACCCAGGAGGTGGAGCTTGCAGTGAGCTGAGATCGTGCCACTGCACTCCAGCCCGGGCGACAGAGCCAGACTCCATCTCAACAACAACAACAAAAAAAAACCTTAAAAGATCAAACATAAGAATTATTAGTATTCAAGGGGGAGCTGAGCAAGGAAGTTTACTCAAAGAAATAATAATAGAAAACATTCCAAAACTTGAGAAAGATATAATTAGCCAGGTTCAGGAGGGTCTGAGAATACCAAACAGATACCACTCAAATAAGATCATCCTAAAGCAGATAATAATAAAACTCTCAAAGGTCAAGAACAAAGAGAAGATCCTGAAAGCATCAAGAGAAAAGGAGCAAATAACAGGTAACAAGCTGCAATTCATCTGGCAACAAACTGTACATGCTATGAGGAAGAACATTTTCACAGTGCTCAAAGAAAAAAACTGCCATCCAAGAATAATGTATCCAGCAAAACTGTCCTTCAAATATGAAGGAAAGATAAAGTATTTCTCAGAAAAACAAAAGATGAAAGAATTCACCACTACTAGACCTGTCGTACAATAAATGCAAGAGAGTTATTCAATCTGAGAGAAAAGGACACATGTAAAAAGAAAACTTTTCAAGGTATTAGACCTTTGGGAAAATTAAATACATGGACCAACCCACGATGTTCTATTACTGTAATTGAGGTGTACAATCCATCCATAACTCTGGTATAAAGCCCAAAAGACAAATCTTTTAAAAACAATAATAGCTACAGCAACCTGTTAAGAGACAGGTAATATAAAGCATGTAAATTGAGGCAACAAAGTCAAAACTGGGGGGTGGAGAGAAATGAAGTTAAAAGGTAAATTTTTGGATGTGGTGGTTTTGCTTTTGTTTCTACTCTTTTGCTCATGATCTAAGATAAGTTGTCGTCTCTTTAAAATAACTTGTTATGGCCAGGCATGGTGGCTCACACCTGTAATCCAGCACTTTGGGAGGTCAAGGTTGGTGAAGCGCTTGAGCCCAGGAATTCAAGACCTCATATCTACTAAAAAACAAAACAAAACAAAACAAAACAAAACAAAAAGCTAAGTATGGTGACATATGCCTGTGGTCCCAGCTACTTGGGAGGCTGAGGCAGGAGGATCACTTTAGCCCGGAGGTTGAGGCTGCAGTGAGCTGTGATTGTAACACTGCTGCACTCCAGCCTGTGTGACAGAGCAAGACCCCCATCTTAAAAATAAGCAAATAAATAAATAAACTTGTTATATCTATAAGATTTGTATAAGCCTTGTAACCACAGCACAAAATCATATAATCAGTGAATTAAAAATTAAAAACAACAAATTAATACATAGCACTTAATAATCACTTAACCACAAAGAATGAAAGGAAAAGATGATTCTCAAAACAACCTGAAAACAGGCAACAAAATGGCAGTGGTAAATCTGTACTTAGCAGTAATAACACTGGATGTAAATGGCCTCAATTCTCAATTAAAAGTCACAGTGTGGATGAATGGATAAAAAAAATAAGACCAACTATATGTTGCCTTTAAGAAACCCACTTCACCTGTAAAGACACACAGGGAGTGAAAGTGAAGGGGTGGAGAAAGATATTCCATGCAACTGGAAAACAAACAAGCAAAAAAGCAGATGTAGCTATGCTTATGTTAGATAAATTAGGCCACAAATCTAAAATTGTAAAAACAGACAAAAAGGGTTACTATATGAAAAAGAGATCAGTTTAGCAAGAGGATATAACAATTATAAATATCTACGCACCCAACACTGGAGCTCCTAAGTATATAAAGTAAACATTAATTGATCTAAAGGAACAGATAGACTTGATTACAATGATAGTAGGGGACTTCGCCACCCCACTCTCAGTAACATATAGATCATCCAACAGAATATCAATGAAGAAACAACAGAGTTAAACTACACATGAGACCTGATAGGCCTAATAGACATTTAAAGAACATTTCGTCCAACTGCTAGAGAATACACATTGTTTTAACTGCACATGGAACGTTCTCTAGAATATATCGTATCTTAGGACACAAAACAAGTCCCAACAAATTCAAAAAGTAGAAATCATATCAAGTATCTTTTCTGACCACAATGGAATAAGACTAGAAAGTGATAACAAGAGAAAC